GATTTGTAAGTAAGAGAAACTTTTCTCTTCCTAAAAAGACATTCCTCTTTTGGATCGAAATATTCCGGATACATCGAGTGAGAATCGAATGCACTATAAAAAGAATAATACGGAAAATGCGTCTTTTCATTAGAAACAACATACTGCTTCAGCAAATATTTGCAAAGTTTCCATTGAGCATCGAACTCACGAACCCTGGTTTACAAGACAGTGCTCTGCCACTGAGCTATGATGGCGACGGTTTTCACTCATATTACTCATTGCACATTTTTGTTTTTTTTAGTGACATTTCTCTCGTTTATTATATTTGTATATAATATAGGTATGAAAAACCTTTCTCTTCCTAAAAAGACATTCCTCTTCTGGATCGAAATATTCCGGATACATCGAGTGAGAATCGAATGCACTATTAAAAAAAATATGGAAAATACGTCTTTTCATTAGAAACAACATACTGCTTGAGCAAATATTTGCAAAGCCACCAGTGAGGATCGAACTCACGACCCCTGGTTTACAAGACCAGTGCTCTGCCACTGAGCTATGATGGCGACGTGTTTCACTCATATTACTCATTGCACATTTTTGTTTTTTTAGTGACATTTCTCTCGCATAGCAATTTATATATATATATATATATATAGGTATGAAAATCCTTTCTCTTCCTAAAAAGACATTCCTCTTCTGGATCGAAAAATTCCGGATACATCGAGTGAGAATCGAATGCACTATAAAAGAAAAATACGGAAGATTAGTCTTTTCATTAGAAACAACATACTGCTTCAGCAAATATTTGCAAAGCCACCAGTGAGGTTCGAACTCACGAACCCTGGTTTACAAGACCAGTGCTCTGCCACTGAGCTATGATGGCGACGGTCTTCACTCATATTACTCATTGCACATTTTTGGTTTTTTAATGACATTTCTCTGGTTTATTAGATTTTTAAGTCAGAGAAACTTTTCTCTTCCTAAAAAGACATTCCTCTTCTGGATTGAAATATTCCCGAAACATCGAGTTTGAATCGAATGAACTATTAAAAGGAAAATATGGAGGTTGCATCTTTTCATTAGAAACAACATACTGCTTGAGCAAATATTTGCAAAGCCACCAGTGAGGATCGAACTCACGACCCCTGGTTTACAAGACCAGTGCTCTGCCACTCAGCTATGATGTCGAGGATTTCACTCATATTACTCGTTGCACATTTTTGTTTTTTTAGTGAAATTTCTCTCGCATAGCAATTTATATATATATATATATAGGTATGAAAAACCTTTTCTTCCTAAAAAGACATTCCTCTTCTGGATCGAAATATTCCGTATACATCGAGGGAGAATCGAATGCACTATAAAAATAAATACGGAAGATACGTCTTTTCATTAGAAACAACATACTGCTTCAGCAAATATTTGCAAAGCCAGCAACGAGGTTTGAACACACGAACCATGGTTTACAAGACCAGTGCTCTGCCATTGAGCTATGATGGCGACGGAATTCTCTCTTATTACTCATTACAGATTTTTGTTTTTTTAATGACATTTCTCTCGTTTATTAGATTTGTAAGTAAGGGAAACTTTTCTCTTTCTAAAAAGACATCCCTCTTTTGGATGGAAATATTCCGGATACATCGAGTGAGAATCGAATGCACTATAAAAAGAATAATACGGAAAATGCGTCTTTTCATTAGAAACAACAGACTGCTTGAGCAAATATTTGCAAAGCCACCAGTGAGGATCAAACCCACGACCGCTGGTTTACAAGAGCAGTGCTGTGCCACTGAGCTATGATGGCGATGTATTTCACTCATATTACTCATTGCACATTTTTGTTTTTTTAGTGACATTTCTCTCGCATAGCAATTTATATATATATATATATATATAGGTATTAAAATCCTTTCTCTTCCTAAAAAGACATTCCTCTTCTGGATCGAAAAATACCGGATACATCGAGTGTGAATCGAATGCACTATCAAAAGAAAGATACGGAAGATTCGTCTTTTCATTAGAAACAACATAATGCTTCAGCAAATATGTGCAAAGTTACCATTGAGCATCGAACTCACGAACCCTGGTTTACAAGACCAGTGCTCTGCCACTGAGCTATGATTGCGACGGATTTCACTCTTATTACTCATTACAGATTTTTGTTTTTTTAGTTACATTTCTCTCGCATAGCAATTTATATATATATATATATATATATATATATATATATATATATATATATATATATATATATATATATATATATGGTTCACACCTAGGAGAGTCCCCACCCTTGGCGCGAATTACTTTGGTTGGCGATAATTGCGCCGTCATGGTAACCTTGCTTTTTTAAATACAACATATGGCAACCCTAACTTTTTCTAGAATTTTCGTCATTTGTGGGCGCGCATTTCAAATTTCATTTTGTTGTTGGGCACCGGGTTGAAAGTATGGCTGCGCTTGTAAGTGAATACACGTTAGAATTTTTTACGTTATTGAATGCTAGAGGCAAGAATGAATTGATTGAGAATGGTGTATGAAAGAAGGATTAATTGCTTCAAGTTATGAATGTCCTAAATGTAATGAGCAAATGGGATTAAATGAACGAAAGAGTGTTGTTTTGGATGGATTTGAATGGAGATGTAGAAAAAAAGGTGTGAATACGCATCATGTTTGCAGAAGTATAAGAAAGAATTCGTGGTTTTCCAATAGTAAGTTAATCGGCAATAAAACGTTTTCTCCGTAATCACACCAGCCACGTAGAAGGCATGTTCGACCATTACCTCGCTGAGTATTTATGGCGGCGCTCTCGCGATCACTCACTCTGCGACGAGACTTTCCAGAATTTTTTAAAAGCAGTTGTTACACTTTATCAACAATAAGAAAGTAAGTGCTGTTGTGTGTTATATTTTCTATCTTAAATGTTAATTTCTGTAGTGTTTACATATATTTTCATTGCGCATCCATCTTATACTGCTATATTTACTTGTCATCGTTGTCGGGTTTGCTTGGCGCCATTTTGTTTTCGCTTGGCCCTTTTTCCGGTTTGGCGCCAAGGGTGGGGGCTCTCCTAGGATATTACCGGATGCATTTTTTCATTAGAAACAACATACTGCTTGAGCAAATATTTGCAAAGCCACCAGTGAGGATCGAACTCACGACCCCTGGTTTACAAGACCAGTGCTCTGCCACTGAGCTATGATGGCGACGGTTTTCACTCATATTACTCATTGCACATTTTTGTTTTTTTATTGACATTTCTCTCCCATAGCAATTTATATATATATATATATATAGGTATGAAAAACCTTTCTCTTCCTAAAAATACATCCCTCTTTTGGATCGAAATATTCCGGATACATCGAGTGAGAATCGAATGCAATATAAAAAGAATAATACGGAAAATGCGTCTTTTCATTAAAACAACGTACTGCTTGAGCAAATATTTGCAAAGCCACCAGTGAGGATCGAACTCACGACCCCTGGTTTACAAGACCAGTGCTCTGCCACTGAGCTATGATGGCGAGGGACTTCAGTCATAATACTCATTGCACATTTTTGTTTTTTTAGTGATATTTCTCTCGTATAGCACTATATCATTATATATAGGTATGAGAAACCTTTCTCTTCCTAAAAATACATTCCTCTTCTGGATCGAAAATTTCCGGATGCATCGAATGAGAATCGAATGCAATATAAAAAGAATAATACGGAAAATGCGTCTTTTCATTAAAACAACATACTGCTTGAGCAAATATTTGCAAAACCACCAGCGAGGTTTGAACTCACGACCCTTGGTTTACAAAACCAGTGTTCTGCCACTGCGCTATGAGGGCGACGGAATTCACTCATATTACTCATTGCACATTTTTGTTTTTTTTAGTCATATTTCTCTCGTATAGCAATTATATATATATATATAGGTATGAAAAACCTTTCTCTTCCTAAAAATACATATATATATATGGATCGAAATATTCATCTGGATATTCCGGATACATCGAGTGTGAATCGAATGCACTATCAAAAGAAAAATACGACAGATGCGTCTTTTCATTAGAAGTAACATACTGCTTCAACAAATATTTGCAAAGTTACCATTGAGCATCGAACTCACGAACGCTGGTTTACAAGGCCAGTGCTCTGCCACTGAGCTATGAATGCGACCAATTTCACTCTTATTACTCATTACAAATTTTTGTTTTTTTAGTGACATTTCTCTCGCATAGCAATTTATATATTATATATATATATAGATAATGAAAAACTTTTCTCTTCCTAAAAATACATCCCTCTTTTGGATCGAAATATTCCGGATACATCGAATGAGAATCGAATGCAATATAAAAAGAATAATACGGAAAATGCGTCTTTTCATTAAAACAACATACTGCTTGAGCAAATATTTGCAAAACCACCAGTGAGGATCGAACTCACGACCCCTGGTTTACAAATCAGTGCTCTGCCACTGAGCTATGAGGGCGACAGAATTCACTCATATTACTCATTGCACATTTTTGTTTTTTTTAGTCATATTTCTCTCGTATATTAATTTTTTAAGTAAGATAAACTTTTCTCTTCCTAAAAAGACATTCCTCTTCTGGATCGCAAAATTCCGGATGCATCGAGTGTGAATCGAATGCACTATCAAAAGAGAGATATGACAGATGCGTCTTTTCATTAGAAACAACATACTGCTTGAGCAAATATTTGCAAAGCCACTAGTGAGGATCGAACTCACGACCCCTGGTTTACAAGACCAGTGCTCTGCCACTGAGCTATGATGGCGACGGATTTGACTCATATTACTCATTGCACATTTTTGTTTTTTTAGTGATATTTCTCTCGTATATTAATTTTTTAAGTAAGATAAATTTTTCTCTTCCTAAAAAGACATTCCTCTTCTGGATCGAAAAGTTCCGGATACATCGAGTGTGAATCGAATGCACTTTTAAAAGAAAAATACGGAAGATTCGTCTTTTCATTAGAAACAACATACTGCTTCAGCAAATATTTGCAAAGTTACCATTGAGCATCGAACCATGGTTTACAAGACCAGTGCTCTGCCACTGAGCTATGATTGCGACGGATTTCGCTCTTATTACTCATTACAGATTTTTGTTTTTTTAGTGACATTTCTCTCGCATAGCAATTTATATATATATATATATATATAGGTATGAAAAACCTTTCTCTTCCTAAAAATACATCCCTCTTTTGGATCGAAATATTCCGGATACATCGAGTGAGAATCGAATGCACTATAAAAAGAATAATACGGAAAATGCCTCTTTTCATTAGAAACAACAGACTGCTTGAGCAAATATTTGCAAAGTCACCAGTGAGGATCAAACTCACGACCCCTGGTTTACAAGACCAGTGCTCTGCCACTGAGCTATGATGGCGATGTATTTCACTCATATTACCATTGCACATTTTTGTTTTTTTAGTGACATTTCTCTCGCATAGTTTATATATATATATATTATATATATATATATTATAAATCCCTTTCTCTTCCTAAAAAGACATTCCTCTTCTGGATCGAAATATTCCGGATACATCGAGTGTGAATCGAATGCACTATCAAAAGAAAAATACGGAAGATTCGTCTTTTCATTAGAAACAACATACTGCTTCAGCAAATATTTGCAAAGTTACCATTGAGCATCGAACTCACGAACCCTGGTTTACAAGACCAGTGCTCTGCCACTGAGCTATGATGGCGACGGATTTCGCTCTTATTACTCATTACAGATTTTTGTTTTTTTAATGACATTTCTCTCGTTTATATATTTATGTATATATATAGAGAAACTTTTCTTTCTCTTCCTAAAAAGACATTCCTCTTCTGGATTGAAATATTCCGGATACATCGAGTGAGAATCGAATGCACTATAAAAGAAAATACGGAAAATGCATCTTTTCATTAGAAACAACATACTGCTTGAGCAAATATTTGCAAAGCCACCAGTGAGGATCGAACTCACGACCCCTGGTTTACAAGACCAGTGCTCTGCCACTGAGCTATGATGGCGACGGATTTCACTCATATTACTCATTGCACATTTTTGTTTTTTTTAGTGACATTTCTCTCGCATAGCAGTTTATATATATATATATATATATAGGTATGAAAATCCTTTCTCTTCCTAAAAAGACATCCCTCTTTTGGATCGAAATATTCCGGATACATCGAGTGAGAATCGAATGCACTGTAAAAAGAATAATGCGGAAAATGCGTCTTTTCATTAGAAACAACATACTGCTTGAGCAAATATTTGCAAAGCCACCAGTGAGGATCGAACTCACGACCCCTGGTTTACAAGACCAGTGCTCTGCCACTGAGCTATGATGGCGACGGTCTTCACTCATATTACTCATTGCACATTTTTGGTTTTTTAATGACATTTCTCTGGTTTTTATTAATATATATATATATATATATATATATATAGGTATTAAAATCCTTTCTCTTCCTAAAAAGACATTCCTCTTCTGGATCGAAATTTTCCGGATACATCGAGTGAGAATCGAATGCACTATAAAAAGAATAATACGGAAAATTGTCTTTTCATTAGAAACAACATACTGCTTGAGCAAATATTTGCAAAGCCACCAGTGAGGATCGAACTCACGACCCCTGGTTTACAAGACCAGTGCTCTGCCACTGAGCTATGATGGCGACGGATTTCACTCATATTACTCATTGCACATTTTTGTTTTTAGTGAAATTTCTCTCGCATAGCAATTTATATATATTTTTAAGTATGAAAAACCTTTTCTTCCTAAAAAGACATTCCTCTTCTGGATCGAAATATTCCGGATACATCGAGTGAGAATCGAATGCACTATAAAAATAAATACGGAAGATACGTCTTTTCATTAGAAACAACATACTGCTTCAGCAAATATTTGCAAAGCCACCAGCGAGGTTCGAACTCACGAACCCTGGTTTACAAGACCAGTGCTCTGCCACTGAGCTATGATGGCGACGGAATTCACTCTATTACTCATTACAGATTTTTGTTTTTAATGACATTTCTCTCGTTTATTAGATTTGTATATAAGAGAAACTTTTCTCTTTCTAAAAGACATCCCTCTTTTGGATCGAAATATTCCGGATACATCGAGTGAGAATCGAATGCACTATAAAAAGAATAATACGGAAAATGCGTCTTTTCATTAGAAACAACAGACTGCTTGAGCAAATATTTGCAAAGCCACCAGTGAGGATCAAACTCACGACCGCTGGTTTACAAGAGCAGTGCTCTGCCACTGAGCTATGATGGCGATGTATTTCACTCATATTACTCATTGCACATTTTTGTTTTTTTAGTGACATTTCTCTCGCATATATAATTATATATATATATATATATATATATTAAAATCCTTTCTCTTCCTAAAAAGACATTCCTCTTCTGGATCGAAAAATACCGGATACATCGAGTGTGAATCGAATGCACTATCAAAAGAAAGATACGGAAGATTCGTCTTTTCATTAGAAACAACATACTGCTTCAGCAAATATGTGCAAAGTTACCATTGAGCATCGAACTCACGAACCCTGGTTTACAAGACCAGTGCTCTGCCACTGAGCTATGTTTGCGACGGATTTCACTCTTATTACTCATTACAGATTTTTGTTTTTTTAGTTACATTTCTCTCGCATAGCAATTTATATATATATATATATAAAGGTATGAAAAAGCTTTCTCTTCCTAAAAATACATCCTTTTTTTGCATCGAAATATTCCGGATACATCGAGTGAGAATCGAATGCACTATAGAAAGAATAATACGGAAAATGCGTCTTTTCATTAGAAACAATATACTGCTTGAGTAAATATTTGCAAAGCCACCAGCGATGTTTAAACTCACGACCCCTGTTTTACAAGACCAGTGCTCTGCCAAAGAGCTATAATGGCGACGGATTTCACTCATATTACTCATTGCACATTTTTGTTTTTTTAATGACATTTCTCTCGTTTATTAGATTTTTAAGTAAGAGAAACTTTTCTCTTCCTAAAAAGACATTCCTCTTCTGGATCGAAGTATTCCGGAAACATCGAGTTTGAATCGAATGAACTATCAAAAGAAAAATATAGAGGATGCATCTTTTCATTAGAAACAACATACTGCTTGAGCAAATATTTGCAAAGCCACCAGTGAGGATCGAACTCACGACCCCTGGTTTACAAGACCAGTGCTCTGCCACTGAGCTATGATGTCGAGGATTTCACTCATATTACTCATTGCATATTTTTGTTTTTTTATTGACATTTCTCTCGCATAGCACGTTATTTATAATCAATTATATATATATATATATATATATATATATATATATATATATATATATATATATATATATATTTAAATATATAAAAACAATCACAATTATCAATTTAAAAATTGAAATATATGAATCCCAAAATACCAAAACACTTCAGAATATCAATGGCGAATATAAAAGATAATGTTCCATCATTTTCAAACAAAAATAAAAAATTATAAAATAAAATAAAAATTTATAAAATATCCAAGTGCAATCTCGGACTTAGGACCGATAAGTGGGGTTAAACTAGTTTGATGGCGCCAACCTTTCCCCTATTGCAACTTGGTAATTTAATTGGAAAATTTTCAAATTTCAGAAAAAAAAAATTAAAAAGTTAAAATAAATCATTATACTTGAAAAATAAAACTATTCGCCATCACATTCCGAAAGATATTGCAATATTAAAATTTAAAAACAATTTAGTACATAATAATTGAACCCTCAAACTTCCAAGATGATGCACACATCTTTAAAATAGTTGTAAAGGTAGAAAAAATAAATTCCTGATCTGAAAGTTCAAATCAAAAATATTTGAGATCCGAAAGTTCAAATCAAAAATTATCTAAAATCAAAAAGTTCAAGTTAAAAAATCCGAAAATTCAAGTTAAAAAATCCGAAAATTCAAGTTAAAAAATCCGAAAGTTCAAGTTAAAAATCCGTTCAAGTTAAAAAATCCGAAAAGTTCAAAAAAAATCCGAAAGTTCAAGTTAAAAAATCCGAAAGTTCAAGTTAAAAATCCGAAAGTTCAAGTTAAAAAATCCGAAAGTTCAAGTTAAATAATCCGAAAGTTCAAGTTAAATAATCCGAAAGTTAAAGTTATATAATACGAAAGTTCAGGTTAAATAATCCGAAAGTTCAAGTTAAAAAATCCGAAAGTTCAAGTTAAAAAATCCGAAAGTTCAAGTTAAAAAATCTGAAAGTTCAAACTAAAAATTTCTAAAAACCGAAAGTTCACATTAAAAACACAGTATATTCACAAATGAATAGAGTAAATCATTAATTGAAAATCATGAAAATCCTTTCTCTTCCTAAAAAGACATTCCTCTTCTGGATTGAAAAATTCCGGATACATCGAGTGTGAATCGAATGCACTATCAAAAGAAAAAACGGAAGATTCGTCTTCTCATTAGAAACAACATACTGCTTCAGCAAATATTTGCAAAGTTACCTTTGAGCATCGAACTCACGAACCCTGGTTTACAAGACCAGTGCTATGCCACTGAGCTATGATTGCGACGGATTTCACTCTTATTACTCATTACAGATTTTTGTTTTTTTAGTGACATTTCTCTCGCATAGCAATTTATATATATATAGGTATGAAAAACCTTTCTCTTCCTAAAAATACATCCCTCTTTTGGATCGAAATATTCCGGATACATCGAGTGAGAATCGAATGCACAATAAAAAGAATAATACGGAAAATGCGACTTTTTATTAGAAAAAACATACTGCTTGAGCAAATATTTGCAAAGCTACCAGTGAGGATCGAACTCACGACCCCTGGTTTACAAGACCAGTGCTCTGCCACTGAGCTATGATGGCGACGGATGTCACTCATATTACTCATTGCACATTTTTGTTTTTTTACGTGAAATTTCTCTCGCATAGCATATTACTCATTGCACATTTTTTGTTTTTTAGTGAAATTTCTCTCGCATAGCATATATATATATATATATATATATATATATATATATATATATATATATAGGTATGAAAAACCTTTTCTTCCTAAAAAGACATTCCTCTTCTGAATCGAAATATTCCGGATACATCGAGTGAGAATCGAATGCACTATAAAAATAAATACGGAAGATACGTCTTTTCATTACAAACAACATACTGCTTCAGCAAATATTTGCAAAGCCACCATTGAGCATTGAACTCACGAACCCTGGTTTACAAGACCAGTGCTCTGCCACTGAGCTATGATGGCGACGGATTTCACTCATATTACTCATTGCACATTTTTGTTTTTTTAGTGAAATTTCTCTCGCATAGCAATTTATATATATATATATATATATATATATATAGGTATGAAAAACCTTTTCTTCCTAAAAAGACATTCCTCTTCTGGATCGAAATATTCCGGATACATCGAGTGAGAATCGAATGCACTATAAAAATAAATACGGAAGATACGTCTTTTCATTAGAAACAACATACTGCTTCAGCAAATATTTGCAAAGCCACCAGCGAGGTTTGAACACACGAACCATGGTTTACAAGACCAGTGCTCTGCCACTGAGCTATGATGGCGACGGAATTCTCTCTTATTACTCATTACAGATTTTTGTTTTTTTAATGACATTTCTCTTGTTTATTAGATTTGTAAGTAAGAAAACTTTTCTCTTCTAAAAAGACATCCCTCTTTTGGATCGAAATATTCCGGATACATCGAGTGAGAATCGAATGCACTATAAAAGAATAATACGGAAAATGCGTCTTTTCATTAGAAACAACATACTGCTTGAGCAAATATTTGCAAAGCCACCAGTGAGGATCAAACTCACGACCCCTGGTTTACAAGACCAGTGCTCTGCCACTGAGCTATGATGGCGACGTATTTCACTCATATTACTCATTGCACATTTTTGTTTTTTTAGTGACATTTCTCTCGCATAGCAATTTATATATATATATATATATATATATATAGGTATTAAAATCCTTTCTCTTCCTAAAAAGACATTCCTCTTCTGGATCGAAAAATACCGGATACATCGAGTGTGAATCGAATGCACTATCAAAAGAAAATACGGAAAATTCGTCTTTTCATTAGAAACAACATACTGCTTCAGCAAATATTTGCAAAGTTACCATTGAGCATCGAACTCACGAACCCTGGTTTACAAGACCAGTGCTCTGCCACTGAGCTATGATGGCGACGGATTTCACTCATATTACTCATTGCACATTTTTGTTTTTTTAGTGACATTTCTCTCGCATAGCAATTTATATATATATATATAGGTATGAAAAACCTTTTCTTTCCTAAAAGACATTCCTCTTCTGGATCGAAATATTCCGGATACATCGAGTGTGAATCGAATGCACTATAAAAAAAATACGGAAGATACGAGCATTAGAAACAACATACTGCTTCAGCAAATATTTGCAAAGCCACCAGCGAGGTTTGAACACACGAACCATGGTTTACAAGACCAGTGCTCTGCCACTGAGCTATGATGGCGACGGAATTCACTCTTATTACTCATTACAGATTTTTGTTTTTTTAATGACATTTCTCTCGTTTATTAGATTTGTAAGTAAGAGAAACTTTTCTCTTTCTAAAAAGACATCCCTCTTTTGGATCGAAATATTCCGGATACATCGAGTGAGAATCGAATGCACTATAAAAAGAATAATACGGAAAATGCGTCTTTTCATTAGAAACAACATACTGCTTGAGCAAATATTTGCAAAGCCACCAGTGAGGATCGAACTCACGACCCCTGGTTTACAAGACCAGTGCTCTGCCACTGAGCTATGATGGCGACGTATTTCACTCATATTACTCATTGCACATTTTTGTTTTTTTAGTGACATTTCTCTCGCATAGCAATTTATATATATATATATATATATATATATAGGTATTAAAATCCTTTCTCTTCCTAAAAAGACATTCCTCTTCTGGATCGAAAAATACCGGATACATCGAGTGAGAATCGAATGCACTATAAAAGAAAATACGGAAAATACGTCTTTTCATTAGAAACAACATACTGCTTGAGCAAATATTTGCAAAGCCACCAGCGAGGTTTGAACTCACGACCCTGGTTTACAAGACCAGTGCTCTGCCACTGAGCTATGATGGCGACGTGTTTCACTCATATTACTCATTGCACATTTTTGTTTTTTAGTGACATTTCTCTCGCATAGCAATTTATATATATATATATATATAGGTATGAAAATCCTTTCTCTTCCTAAAAAGACATTCCTCTTCTGGATCGAAATATTCCGGATACATCGAGTGAGAATCGAATGCACTATAAAAAGAATAATACGGAAAATGCGTCTTTTCATTAGAAACAACATACTGCTTGAGCAAATATTTGCAAAGCCACCAGCGAGGTTTGAACTCACGAACCCCTGGTTTACAAGACCAGTGCTCTGCCACTGAGCTATGATGGCGACGGAATTGACTCATATTACTCATTGCATATTTTTGGTTTTTTAATGACATTTCTCTTTTTATTAGATTTTTAAGTAAGAGAAACTTTTCTCTTCCTAAAAAGACATCCTCTTTTGGATCGAAATATTCCGGATACATCGAGTGAGAATCGAATGAACTATAAAAAAGAAAAATACGGAAAATGCGTCTTTTCATTAGAAACAACATACTGCTTGAGCAAATATTTGCAAAGCCACCAGTGAGGATCGAACTCACGACCCCTGGTTTACAAGACCAGTGCTCTGCCACTGAGCTATGATGTCGAGGATTTCAATATTACTCATTGCACATTTTTGTTTTATTAGTGACATTTCTCTGCCACTGTCGAGAGCTATGAAACGTCCTCCCGTTGGTGTGGTGTGGGAGTTAGGAGAGAGGGGTGCCAGCTCAGGTGAGTCCAACGTCATTGACCATTTCAAAATTACGTGGTCCGTCGCCAAAAACCCTCTTGAGCAAATAGCTGAACAGTGCGACGTTATATTAAATCAATCAATTAATCAATCTGCCACTGAGCTATGATGTCGAGGATTTCACTCATATTACTCATTGCACATTTTTGTTTTTTTATTGACATTTCTCTCGCATAGCAATTTATATATATATATATATATATATATATATATATAAAAATATACACAATTTTCATTTAAAAATTGAAATATATGAATCCCAAAATACCAAAACACTTCAGAATATCAATGGCGAATATAAAAAGATAATGTTCCATCATTTTCAAACAAAATTAAAAAATTTTTAAAATAAAAATTTATAAAATATCCAAGTGCAATCTTTAGGACCGATAATTGGGGATAAACTATTGGATGGCGCCAACCTTCCCCTATGCACTTGGTAATTTAAAAAATTTTCAAATTTCAGAAAAAAAAATTAAAAAGTTAAAATAAATCATTATACTTTTTTTTCTAAAACTATTCGCCATCACATTCGAAAGATATTGCAATATTAAAATTTAAAAACAATTTGCAAAGTACATAATATAAGTGAACCCTCAAACTTCCAAGATGATGCACAAGACCAAAGTGCTCTGATCTGTTCAAATCAAAAATATTTGAGATCGAAAGTTCAAATCAAAAATTATCTAAAATCAAAAAGTTCACTCAAAGTTCAAATTAAAAATTCCGGAAAGTTCAGTTAAAATCATTGCACATTAAAAAATTTCAAGTTAAAAAAATGCGAAAGTTTTCAGTGAAAAATCCGAAGTTCAAGCAAAAATTTGAAAGTTCCACCAGCAATAATCCGAAAGTTCACGAAATAATCCGAAAGTTAAAGTTATATAATACGAAAGTTCAGGTTAAATAATGGCGAAAGTTCAAGTTAAAAAATCCGAAAGTTCAATTAAAAATTTCAAGTTAAAAATCTGAAAGTTCAAACTAAAAATTTCTAAAAACCGAATGTTCACATTAAAAACACAGTATATTCACAAATGAATAGATAAATCATTAAATGAAAATCATGAAACTCCTTTCTCTTCCTAAAAAGACATTCCTCTTCTGGATCGAAAAATTCCGGATACATCGAGTGTGAATCGAATGCACTATCAAAAGAAAAATACGGAAGATTCGTCTTTTCATTAGAAACAACATACTGCTTCAGCAAATATTTGCAAAGCCACCAGCGAGGATTGAACTCACGACCCCTGGTTTACAAGACCAGTGCTCTGCCACTGAGCTATGATGGCGACGGAATTCACTCTTATTACTCATTACAGATTTTTGTTTTTTTAATGACATTTCTCTCGTTTATTAGATTTGTAGGTATGAAAAACCTTTCTCTTTCCTAAAAATACATCCCTCTTTTGGATCGAAATATTCCGGATACATCGAGTGAGAATCGAATGCACTATAAAAAGAATAATACGGAAAATGCGTCTTTTCATTAGAAAAAACATACTGCTTGAGCAAATATTTGCAAAGCTACCAGTGAGCATCGAACTCACGACCCCTGGTTTACAAGACCAGTGCTCTGCCACTGAGCTATGATGGCGACGGATTCACTCATATTACTCATTGCACATTTTTGTTTTTTTAGTGAAATTTCTCTCAATTTTATTTATATATATAATTTATATATATATATATATATATATATATATATATATATAAAAATATATATATATGAAAATATTTTTCTTCCTAAAAAGACATTCCTCTTCTGGATCGAAATATTCCGGATACATCGAGTGAGAATCGAATGCACTATAAAAAAAATACGGAAAATGCGTCTTTTCATTAGAAACAACATACTGCTTCAGCAAATATTTGCAAAGTTACCATTGAGCATCGAACTCACGAACCCTGGTTTACAAGACCAGTGCTCTGCCACTGAGCTATGATGGCGACGGATTTCACTCATATTACTCATTGCACATTTTTGTTTTTTTAGTGAAATTTCTCTCGCATAGCAATTTATATATATATATATATATATATATATAGGTATGAAAAACCTTTTCTTCCTAAAAAGACATTCCTCTTCTGGATCGAAATATTCCGGATACATCGAGTGAGAATCGAATGCACTATAAAAATAAATACGGAAGATACGTCTTTTCATTAGAAACAACATACTGCTTCAGCAAATATTTGCAAAGCCACCAGCGAGGTTTGAACACACGAACCATGGTTTACAAGACCAGTGCTCTGCCACTGAGCTATGATGGCGACGGAATTCACTCTTATTACTCATTACAGATTTTTGTTTTTTTAATGACATTTCTCTTGTTTATTAGATTTGTAAGTAAGGGAAACTTTTCTCTTTCTAAAAAGACATCCCTCTTTTGGATCGAAATATTCCGGATACATCGAGTGAGAATCGAATGCACTATAAAAAGAATAATACGGAAAATGCGTCTTTTCATTAGAAACAACATACTGCTTGAGCAAATATTTGCAAAGCCACCAGTGAGGATCAAACTCACGACCCCTGGTTTACAAGAGCAGTGCTCTGCCACTGAGCTATGATGGCGATGTATTTCACTCATATTACTCATTGCACATTTTTGTTTTTTTAGTGACATTTCTCTCGCATAGCAATTTATATATATATATATATATATATATATATATATATATATAGGTAAAAATCCTTTCTCTTCCTAAAAAGACATTCCTCTTCTGGATCGAAATATTCCGGATACATCGAGTGAGAATCGAATGCACTATAAAAAGAAAATACGGAAAATTCGTCTTTTCATTAGAAACAACATACTGCTTCAGCAAATATTTGCAAAGTTACACCATTGAGCATCGAACTCACGAACCCTGGTTTACAAGACCAGTGCTCTGCCACTGAGCTATGATGGCGACGTGTTTCACTCATATTACTCATTGCACATTTTTGTTTTTTAGTGACATTTCTCTCGCATAGCAATTTATATATATATATATAGGTATGAAAATCCTTTCTCTTCCTAAAAAGACATTCCTCTTCTGGATCGAAATATTCCGGATACATCGAGTGAGAATCGAATGCACTATAAAAAAAAATACGGAAGATTCGTCTTTTCATTAGAAACAACATACTGCTTCAGCAAATATTTGCAAAGCCACCAGCGAGGTTTGAACACACGAACCATGGTTTACAAGACCAGTGCTCTGCCACTGAGCTATGATGGCGACGGAATTCACTCTTATTACTCATTACAGATTTTTTTAGTGTTTTTAATGACATTTCTCTCGTATATAATATTATATTATGTATGAAAACGTATGAAAAACCTTTCTCTTTCTAAAAAGACATTCCTCTTCTGGATCGAAATATTCCGGATACATCGAGTGAGAATCGAATGCACTATAAAAATAAATACGGAAGATACGTCTTTTCATTAGAAACAACATACTGCTTCAGCAAATATTTGCAAAGCCACCAGCGAGGTTTGAACACACGAACTATGGTTTACAAGACCAGTGCTCTGCCACTGAGCTATGATGGCGACGGAATTCACTCTTATTACTCATTACAGATTTTTGTTTTTTTTAATGACATTTCTCTCGTTTATTAGATTTGTAAGTAAGAGAAACTTTTCTCTTTCTAAAAAGACATCCCTCTTTTGGATCGAAATATTCCGGATACATCGAGTGAGAATCGAATGCACTATAAAAAGAATAATACGGAAAATGCGTCTTTTCATTAGAAACAACAGACTGCTTGAGCAAATATTTGCAAAGCCACCAGTGAGGATCAAACTCACGACCCCTGGTTTACAAGAGCAGTGCTCTGCCACTGAGCTATGATGGCGATGTATTTCACTCATATTACTCATTGCACATTTTTGTTTTTTAGTGACATTTCTCTCGCATAGCAATTTATATATATATATATATATATAGGTATTAAAATCCTTTTTCTTCCTAAAAGACATTCCTCTTCTGGATCGAAAATACCGGATACATCGAGTGAGAATCGAATGCACTATAAAAAGAATAATACGGAAAATGCGTCTTTTCATTAGAAACAACATACTGCTTCAGCAAATATTTGCAAAGTTACCATTGAGCATCGAACTCACGAACCCTGGTTTACAAGACCAGTGCTCTGCCACTGAGCTATGATGGCGACGGATTTCACTCTTATTACTTATTACAGATTTTTGTTTTTTAGTTACATTTCTCTCGCATAGCAATTTATATATATATATATATATATATAAGGTATGAAAAGCTTTCTCTTCCTAAAAATACATCCCTCTTTTTGCATTGAAATATTCCGGATACATCGAGTGAGAATCGAATGCACTATAAAAGAATAATACGGAAAATGCGTCTTTTCATTAGAAACAATATACTGCTTGAGCAAATATTTGCAAAGCCACCAGCGATGTTTAAACTCACGACCCCTGGTTTACAAGACCAGTGCTCTGCCAAAGAGCTATAATGGCGACGGATTTCACTCATATTACTCATTGCACATTTTTGTTTTTTTAATGACATTTCTCTTGTTTATTAGATTTTTAATATAGTAAGAGAAACTTTTCTCTTCCTAAAAAGACTTTCCTCTTCTGGATCGAAGTATTCCGGAAACATCGAGTTTGAATCGAATGAACTATCAAAAGAAAAATATAGAGGATGCATCTTTTCATTAGAAACAACATACTGCTTGAGCAAATATTTGCAAAGCCACCAGTGAGGATCGAACTCACGACCCCTGGTTTACAAGACCAGTGCTCTGCCACTGAGCTGTGGCCGCGGTAGCCGAGTGGTATAGGTATCGGATCGTGGCTTGCCTGGTCACGAGTTCGATCCCAGTACCACTAAAGACCCGCCGTGTAGGGCAGCGATGCACGTTAAATCTGTCGAGAGCTGAAACTTCCTCCCGTTGGTGTGGTGTGGGAGTTAGGAGAGGGGGGTGCCAGCTCAGGTGTCGTCCACGTCACTTGACCATGGTTCAAAATTACGTGGTCCGTCGCCAAAAGCCCTCGTGTAGCTGAACAGTGCGACGTTAATATTAAATCAATCAATTAATCAATCTGCCACTGAGCTATGATGTCGAGGATTTCACTCATATTACTCATTGCACATTTTTGTTTTTTTATTGACATTTCTCTCGCATAGCAATTTATATATTATATATATATATATATATATATATATATATATATATTTAAATATATAAAAACAATCACAATTATCATTTTAAAAATTGAAATATATGAATCCCAAAATACCAAAACACTTCAGAATATCAATGGCGAATATAAAAGATAATGTTCCATCATTTTCAAACAAAATTAAAAAATTATATAATAAAATAAAAATTTATAAAATATCCAAGTGCAATCTCGGACTTAGGACCGATAAGTGGGGTTAAACTAGTTGGATGGCGCCAACCTTCCCAATATTGCAACTTGGTAATTTAATTGGAAAATTTTCAAATTTCAGAAAAAAAAAATTAAAAAGTTAAAATAAATCATTATACTTGAAAAATAAAACTATTCGCCATCACATTCCGAAAGATATTGCAATATTAAAAATTTAAAAACAATTTAGTACATAATATAAGTGAACCCTCAAACTTCCAAGATGATGCACACATCTTTAAAAGAGTTGTAAAGGTAGAAAAATAAATTCCTGATCCGAAAAGTTCAAATCAAAAATATTTGAGATCCGAAAGTTCAAATCAAAATTATCTAAAATCAAAAAGTTCAAAGTTAAAAAAAATCCGAAAGTTCAAATTAAAAAATCCGAAAGTTCAAGTTAAAAAATCCGAAAGTTCAAAAAAAATCCGAAAGTTCAAGTTAAAAATCCGAAAGTTCAAGTTAAAAAATCCGAAAGTTCAAGTTAAAAATCCGAAAGTTCAAGGTATAAATAATCCTTTCTCTTCCTAAAAGAAATAATCCGAAAGTAAATATTCGGATAATCAGTTTGAATCGAATGCACTGTAAGAAAAATAAAAGTTCAAGATAAAAATCTTTTCAAGTTAAAAAAATAAAACCAGTATCTTCACAAATATTAAAAATCAGCGAAAGTTTTTTCACTCTTCCCTTACCATTTTACAAGACCAGTGCTCTCCCAGCCACTAAAGACCCGCCATTAAATGCACATTTTTGTTTTATTCACATTTCTCATGAATAGAGTAAATCATTAAATGATAAAGTGGTCATGAAAAAGCTTTTTTCTTCCTAAAAAAGACATTCCTCTTCTGGATCGAAATATTCGGGATACATCAGTGTGAATCGAATGCACTATCAAAAGAAAAACGGAAAAATTCGTCTTTTCATTAGAAACAACATACTGCTTCAGCAAATATTTGCAAAGCCACCAGTGAGGATCGAACTCGAACCCTGGTTTACAAGACCAGTGCTCTGCCACTGAGCTATGATGCGACGGTTTCACTCATATTACTCATTGCACATTTTTGTTTTTTAGTGACATTTCTCTCGCATAGCAATTTATATATATATATAGGTATGAAAAAACCTTTCTCTTCCTAAAAATACATCCCTCTTTTGGATCGAAATATTCCGGATACATCAGTGAGAATCGAATGCACTATAAAAAGAATAATACGGAAAATTCGTCTTTTCATTAGAAACAACACTGCTTGAGCAAATATTTGCAAAGCCACCAGTGAGGATCGAACTCACGACCACTGGTTTACAAGACCAGTGCTCTGCCACTGAGCTATGATGGCGACGTGTTTCACTCATATTACTCATTGCACATTTTTGTTTTTTTTTTTCTTCGAAATTTCTCTCGCATAGCAATTTAATATATATATATATATATATATATATAGGTATGAAAAACCTTTCTCTTCCTAAAAAAGACATTCCTCTTCTGGATCGAAATATTCCCGGATACATCGTGAGAATCAATGCACTATTAAAATAATTTGGAAAATACGTCTTTTAATTAGAAACAACATACTGCTTGAGCAAATATTTGCAAAGCCACCAGCGAGGTTTTAACTCACGACCCCTGGTTTACAAGACCAGTGCTCTGCCACTGAGCTATGAAGCGACGTGTTTTTTCACTCATATTACTCATTGCACATTTTGGTTTTTTAGTGACAATTTCTCTCGCATAGCAATTTATATATATATATATATATATATATATATATATATATATATATATATTATATATATATATATATATATAATATATATATATATATATATATATATATATATATATATATATTTATATATATATATATATATATAGGTATGAAAACACTTTCTCTTCCTAAAAAGACATTCCCCTTCTGGATCAGAAATATACCGGATACATCGAGTGTGAATCAAATGCACTATCAAAAAAAATATGGAAGAATTACGTCTTTTCATTAGAAACAACATACTGCTTGAGCAAATATTTGCAAAGCCACCAGCGAGGTTTGAACACGAACCATGGTTTACAAGACCAGTGCTCTGCCACTGAGCTATGATGGCGACGGAATTCTCTCTTATTA